GGGCTGGCGGTGTGTGAGAGGATTCACCAGAGACAGAGTGGGGAGCATAACAGGCAGATCCTCTGAAATACACTGCTGGGGGGAGCGGTATGTAAGACAGGAGAGGTCTGCTACACCATGTGGGTTAGCTCTCTGGCAGGAGATCGAACTCATGCAACAATGGCTGTGGATAGCTTCATAGTGCCGAGACTTAACCCCTTGTACCACCAGGAGGTCCCTTGAGCTGCTTTTTTAATTGTTAAATTTTTTGTATCTTAGATATTAACCCCTAATTAATTGAGTGATGTGTAAATATTTTCTCTTCTTAAGTAAGATGACTTTCTAACCTATTATTGTTTTCTTTCACTATGTAAACTTTTTTTATTTGATGTAATCCCAATTGTTTATTTTTGCATTTATTCCTCTTATGGGTTGAGTCTCCAAAGACATCTTTAAAATTGATGTCATGAAATGAATGGACAATGTTTTCTTCTGTGTATTTTGTTGTTGACGGCCTTATATGTATTAGATTTGAGGCTTAGAAAATATTCTGAACCAATAACCAGTTCTTGTGTCTGGGAGGCCTCTAAAATAAACCTTTAAGGAGGAAGGGAAGAGAAGGGAAGGGGAAAAGACTCCTTTTTGTTTTCCCTGCCCCTTTATTTAAGGCAATCTTTTTTTAAGACTATATGATATCTCAGGCAATTCCAGAGGCTACTGTTTTTTTAAATATGAAGATTGGGAAAGAAGCTATTTATGTATAAATTGGACAGATTAATGGCTTAGAGGAAGCATAAGCAAGCCTGGAAATTCTAACAGAGTTAATAGTCATGTGCTGCTAATCCCAGTGTTCCTAACAAGGCAGGTATCCTGGTCTAGGCAATTCAACTATTTTTTTTTTAATCATATGGAATAAACCATGGGTGGCAGGACCCCCTAATAGAGTCCATTTCTTTCTATTAATCCAAAGATTAGGGCTGAAGGAGGTATACCTGGCCTTTTCCAGTCATTTTTTAACTATGAAAGAAAAAGCAGAAAAAATGTCTCTTGCTAAATGTTTTCTTCTTGCTTTCATATGGGTAGCTAATTGGTCCTTTTACATTCTGTCTGTAAATCATGGTCTTTCTGGTAGTGGCAATAAAGAATCTATTGGTTTTTAGAGCTGTTTCTAGTTTAACTATGGTAATTGACCATGAATAAACACAGTGTGTGCCAGGGACACAATTATTTGACTTTCAGCAGGGAAGCCCTCTGCTGGCACCTGATGTAACAGATTGAGTTTGCTATAGAACAACTGATGTTTGGGGCTGAGGTTGAAATGAGAGAAGGGGTGAAAATGCTTGGAAGGATGTAGTAGGAAGCAGATCAATTCTGTTTGGATCCAGATTAAGCTCACAGGAGTATTCAGGTCTAGGAAATGCCACTATCCTTGTCTGCCTTGTTAGTAGTAGGGTACTGAACTTTGGACTTGGCTGATAGTTGGAGTCATATTTGTGGAAAAACAATGGTGGGCTTGATGGAGATCTCCATAGGAGGGGACGGTGGAAGGAAATGAGGAAATAAATGTCTTTGCCTTGTTTGGTCAATTGGCAACTGCCAGAAAATTAGTGCTGTTTCAACATGGACTTTAAGCACACACTGACTGTTCTGTGGAGTCAATTGGCCTATTTTGCTCTTTAAGTAGCAACTGTAGATATGGTGGTTGTTAGACTAGAATAAAATGATAACAGATACAAAGTGCTTTGAAAAGTTAGCTGCTATACAATTATAAGGAGAGAGTATGATCAGAGTTAAGAGCATGGACATTTAGGTTACTTGGCTCATATTCTCCACAAACTCACTGGGCACATTTATCAAGTTATTTAATCTCTCTATACTTCATTCATCACATCTGAATAAGGCCAGGGTCCCACAAAGTGGCTTAGCCATGGCAGTGATGGCCGTTGTAGTCATCATACTGTAGAGGAACAACTTTCTTCTCTCCGCAAAAGTTCAACAGTGTACTCCTACTGGCTGCACCCAATGGAGTCTTTTCAGTTCTCATCTTATTTGATTTCTCTGCAGCATTTATGCATCTGACCACTCCCCTCTTAAAGTTTTCTGCTTCTTTGGCTTCTGTGACACTCTTTTTGGATTCTTTGCATACTTCTCTGACCATTGCTTTTAATTTTCCCTCTCCTCTTGGATCATGGTGTCCCCAGGGCCCTGTCCTTAGCCTAGCCCTTTCAGCTGACAGAAACAATGAAGGCCTTTCTGACCCTTTCTACTCTGCCACCCCTCCAGTCCAGGTCTTGGCCCCATTCCTGCACTCTTTCTGCAACTCTTCTACCTGTTCACTTGCAACACCAACCCCCCCTACACTTTTGCGCTTGCCTTTTCTTCTGGCTCTCAATGAAGGTACAATAGATTAATGGATATTAGATTCTCCAGTAGCACTTTGTACAGAATTACCACGTCTTTTTAGGCTACTTGCAGGTGTTTTCCTTCTATTAAATAGGGTTCCTCAGCGAGGGGTCCTGCGTGTTCATCACTGGTCCCCAGAACCTACTTGGTTCCTGAGACACTGCGGTTGTCCACGGCACTGAAGAAAAACGAACAGAAATAATTACTTTATTCAAAGTTGACTTTTTGGGAGACCTGCCTCTCCAGGGCTCCAGGCTCCTCGCCCTCCCCCATCGCCCTGGGTGAAGGGCAGCCGGGTGGCTCGCAGCCTTCGGGTTGGGCTGGGCTGCTGCCCGCGCGCCTGCGCCCTCTGCCGCTCTGCTGCCGGCGCGTCTGTGCGCGCGTGTGTCTGTTTGGGGAGGCTTGGCTGACAGGCGAGAAGCCTGGGGAAGAGTTCAGCCGGAGTCACAGTCTCATTCACTGATTTCTCGGCGGCTGGACCGAGGCTGCTTCCCCAGGAGGCATCCAGCCACTCCTGTATGTCCACAGTCCCCCCCCTCGCGCCGCTCCACTCCCAGCCAGACTGACCGACAGACTCACGAGTGAGTAGCGGCTGCTTGTGCCCTCCGGTAGCCCGGCGGAGTACCGTCCTGATGACTGTGTGTGTGTGTGTGTGTGTGTGTGTGTGTGTGTGTGTGTGAGAGAGAGAGAGAGAGAGAGTGTATGTGTGTGTTTGTACACACGTGTGCACGCGCGCGCTCGTGCGTTTGCAGGAGGGTGTCCCTGGGATTCCTCGCCGGCTCGAGAGCTTCCCGCCGGGATCCGCGCGCCCCCCGAGCGCGTACCGCGGCGCGGGTGCCCCCCTAGGCAGAGGCTCCGACGCCCCCGGCGCCGTGTGCGAGTGGCCGGGATTTCCCCGTTCAGCGCGACCGCGGGTGGGGTTTCCCGGGAAGGCTCCTGGGTAAGGAGGCGCCGGGGAAGCCCGGCTGGGAGCGGCTGGCAGGCCGGCAGTGTGGGAGCGGGTCTGGCCGCGGCGTGGGAGCCGCAGGAGCGGCTGCCCCCGGCCGCCTGCCCCTCTGCCGTTCTTAGCCTTCCTCCTTTCTTTTCCTCGGCAGCATCACAAAAACGCGCCGGATACTGAATCCTAATGCAGTCAAGTCCGGCTCTTTTCTCCTACCAGGTGTGCACCCCGTGCCCCCCCACCCCCACCCCGCCCCAACTCCCCACCGGCCTGGGAGTGTGGAGAGAGCTTAGGGCCGGAGGTTTTCCCGGGACACACCTGTTCTCAGCTGTCTCTGAATGCAGGCTGGGTGCGGGGGCGCAGAGGGGTTCCGACACATACACACCGGTGTGTGTGCTCGCGCGCGCGCACCCCAGTTCCACACTCGCGGGGTGCTCGCCATGTAAATAGCCCACTTTCCTGCCCGCCAGCGTGTGCCAAGTCGGCACCGTGGGCTCCTGGCGCGCTCTGTGACAGCGTGCCGGCATCTCTTTGTTTGATTGTAGCTTCCCCACCCCTCCACAAAGCAAATTGATTTTCAGTTTCGCTTGACGCTGCGCGCTGGGACTTCGTGTGGGCCGCAGCCTCGAATGCCCCTGGTGTTTGTAATTGAATAGTTCTTACGGGCGTGTGTGTGTGTGTGTGTGTGTGTGTGTGTGCGCGCGCGCGCGTGCGTGTTATTTTTAGTGTTGGGAATAAAGGGACAAGCATGTTGACCTTTTTTTTTTGCTGCTGCCTTGGGCTTTGAAAACGTGTCCTTAATTGATGAAGCAGACGGATTCACTTCGTAATCGCACACACGTGCCTGAGCACAAGTGTGTACACATATTTCTACACACGTAGCCTCCCTCTTTCCTTTTAAAAATTGGGACCAAGAATGCATTGTGTGTTTGTAAAACCCCCTACTTCCCCCTCCCCCCAAAAAAAAACAAAAATAAAAAACTTTCCTTTGTTCTTTTGGGCATTTTCTATTTTGAGTAATGGAGTAGGAGTACCAAAGGTGGCAATTAGTTCACTCGAATAAAAGACACTGCCTCTGAGTCAGAGCTACCAGGTTGATAATTATTAACATATAAAAGCAGATGTGCTGTTTAAGGCAAAAGGGGCGGGGCGTGGGCAGGTCGGCGGTAGACAATGAGGCAGGGGCTCCGCCGACCAACTGCTGGTTATTGTTCCAGCACTGGAGGCTGCGCTCCGCGGCCGCCTCCTCTAGGGCTTCGCTTTCCGCAAATTCCTCGGTCCCCCTCGGGACCGTCCGGGTCACCCAGCTCTGGCCCCAGGGCGGCGGGACGCCGGGACGCCAGCTCCAGCAGCAGCCGCCCTTCGCTGACCGCACTCTATCTGCTTTGCAGGTTGACAGATTTGCGCTCCAGGGTGTCGCAAGCCGAGGCGGCGAGGACAGGGCGCGTCTCGCTTAGCCAGCTCGGCGGGATGCGGCGCGGGCAGCGCTAACCTTCCCCTCGCTGGGCACCGGGAGTTCTCGCTTCGGGCAGCCGTCCGCGCGGTGGTAGAGGGGATGCGCCTGGGACGCGCAAGGCTCCTGCCGCGAGCTGTCGCCCGGAGGTGGACGTCCAGCAGGACTCATCGCAGGACCGCGCGGACCGCTGCCCCCCGGGGCAAGCGGCTGCGGACCCTCGGGGCCAAGTCTTCCATCAGGATGCCCTGGGCGCCTCCCTGCTGGTGAGGATGCTCTGCCGCGCAGCTCTGTATCCCCGGTCCCGGTTCCTGGTGGGCACGACTGCATGGGCCCTTTGGGTTTGGCCAGAGGGTGAAAAAGTGAGTTTAGCGATTGAATTCGAATTCTGAGAGCCATGGACCAAGGAAGTGGGCTGCAACCCCAGGCGGGAGAGCAGCTGGAAGCAGCCGCCACAATAGGAGCTATCCAAAATAAATGTGAACCAGAGACCTTTAGGTCCAAGAGTTTACCCGTCCTAAATAGCGCCTCCTGCCGGCCAGACCCGAGTCCCACGAGTGTAGACACCAAGCTAAGCTGTGCAGAGTCTTTGGGCCACCAGGAATCCAAGCAAGGCCTGAACCGTTTGACTCCCAGCGCTTCTGCCCTGTCCACTTCACCAGAGGTGGCAGGACTAGCTGACTGTAACCACAGGGTGGATGTCAGTAAAACCGTGTCGGTGTCCTCCGCTTTGGCCACGCTCCAAGGCAGAAGGTGCCTCTACTTGGTTCTCACGGATTCCCGTTGCTTCCTGGTCTGCATGTGCTTTCTTACTTTCATCCAGGCGTTAATGGTCTCTGGATACCTGAGCAGTGTCATCACCACCATCGAAAGGCGCTACAGTCTGAAGAGTTCTGAGTCGGGGCTGCTGGTCAGCTGCTTTGACATCGGGAGCCTGGTGGTGGTGGTGTTTGTCAGCTACTTCGGGGGCCGGGGTCGGCGGCCCCTGTGGCTGGCGGTAGGTGGACTTTTCATCGCTATTGGGGCTGCCCTCTTTGCTTTACCTCACTTCATCTCACCGCCCTACCAGATTCAAGAGTTGAACGCCTCGGCCTCCAATGATGGCCTGTGTCAGACCGGCAACTCCAGGGCGACTTTGGAGCCTCCTGCTTGCCTGAAGGACTCAGGAGGAAATAATCACTGGGTCTATGTGGCTTTATTCATTTGTGCACAGATTCTCATTGGCATGGGCTCCACACCTATTTATACCCTGGGACCAACCTACTTAGATGACAATGTCAAGAAAGAAAATGCATCCTTGTACCTAGGTAAGTCTTTCCTGTCTTCTCAGATAAGTGAACTGAAAACTCAAAAGGAAATGCTTTCTTTTACATTTCCCTGGAGATTTCGCCTCCACCCCCATCTCCTCCCACACACATATTTAAGCATTGAGTTTTAATTTACCTGTTAGCCTTAGCAGAGTATATTTTTAGTTTGAGAAAGAAACAAATAGTTGCGAGTTCTTTGAACTTATTTTGAGACTCACACTTCATATTTGCGTTTCCCAAGTCATACAAACATTTAAACGTGGGGTGTCTGTCTTGCTGCCTACCTTTGGGAAAGTGCTAACTTATCTTGTTTCTCGGCTAATTGCTGTACACCTGGAAAGGGTTCTGGATGGAACAGAAGTACCTGGTGTGTGGGAGTGAAGTTTTGGGTTATCTTATGCTTTCATCTATTGCTGCTTCTCATTCCTGTCCTTCACAGCAGGGCTCATGAATTACCGAGACTATGTAAAACATACTTTATTGCCTCCATACCTGCATTTCTTTCTTATCACCTATAACACGATAAAAAAAAAAACATTTGAGTGATATCAAATGACCAGGTTATCTTTACACAGAAGCAACATCACAAATTGTAAAGTTTATCCAAGGCTATTTTTGTGGATGGTTGAAGACCCTCAATTATGTGCACTTGGGAGAAGAATCATTACTGTTTTCTGAACAGCTGTGACTTTTGGATTTGGCTGACTTGTATGAATCAGTTCCAGTGGACAGGGGGTGCCTGGGTTAATTACAGGGTGCTCATGTTGGGCCAGGTACTCATGTGGATAGGATAATTTAGTTACTAGAAGTCTGTGACTGTCAATAACCCCCTCTACTAGCCATCTCCTCAAAACTCAACTTCTTGGGAATGGATTTGAACCTTGAAAAGGATTAATAGTAGTCATACTGGATGAAATTTTTGTTTTTCTACATTTCTCTACTAAAGTCCAACCAAAAAAAGATAAAAAGCTAAAAAATGGCAAAAAAATTACATAAATTTACAATTTATTGCTATGTGCTGATACAAGCTTTGTGGGAATAATAAGATTTCAAAGGACAGTGAAGATAATAACTAATTAGTAGGACTATTCCTCAGTACAACTACTGTCAACAGAAGCTGTCATACAGATGTCTGAGTCATTTGTAGTCTCCAATAACTGGCCCAAATGGATTAGGACAAGAGTTTTAGAATTTATTTTTATAATTTTTTAAAGTTTTAAAAAATATTTGTTTTATTTATTTATGAATCCAAGAACTGGGGTAGGACAGAGTTGGGGGGTAGTGAGAGGATTCCCCAGAGACAGAGTGGGGCATAGAACGGGTAGATCTAATAAAATACATTGCTGAGGGGAGCAGTCGGTGAGGCAGGAGAGGTCTGCTGTGCCATGAGGGTTAGCTTCCTGGCGGGGATTGAACCCAGGCCACAGTGGTAGGCGATAGCTTGATAGTGCCGAGACTAACTCCTGTGCCACCAGGGAGGCCCAAATTTATTTTTATTATTAAATACAAGAGAAAGAAATTTTCATTCAGAGCAGAGAGCGATGGCTTGCTTGCTACTATGTCTTCTTGTTTTCAAATATTGACAGATTTTATTTATTTATTTATTTATTTATTTATTTATTATTTATTAAAGATTTACTTAAGCATACAAGAGCTGGGGTACAGGCCAGCGATGCGGGGGTTGAGAGGATACACCAGAGAGAGAAAGAGTGGGAAACAGAACAGGCAGGATGACTGAAATACACTGTTGAGGGGAGCAGTGAGTGAGACAGGAGGGGTCTGCCTCATCTTGTGAGTTGCTCCCTGGCCAGGCTGGTGATTGAACTCGTGCTGCAGAGGCTGTGGATTGCTTCATAGTGCGGTGCTTAACCCCTTGCGCCACCAGGGAGGCCCCTTAGGACAGATTTTTAAACACACAGAAGAGTTCAAAGAATACCATTATTTTATTTCACAACCTAGATGCAATAATGGTTCATTTTTCATAATTACTTTATCAGCTTATGAGTGTGTATTATGTATGTAATATATATTTTTTGGATGAGGGACTAAGTCCTTTGAAAGTGTTGCAGACCCGCCTAACATGCATCTTCGGAAACAAAGGGCTTTCTTTTATGAAGCTGCTGGAAATAAACAGCTATTCTCTTAAATATCAAATAGCTAGCCCATATCCATGTTTCCTGACTTGTCCCCTCAAAGATTTTGTATAACTTTTTTTTCCCAAACAGGAGCCAATCAAGATTCACTCGTAAAAAGGTCTTAGATGGTGCCTCACCCTTTTTTCTTTTTCAATCTCAGACTTTTTGAAGGAACAAGATTAACTAATTTATGGAATATATCACATTGGAGATTTATTTTATTTTTTTCCTGATAATGTCACTTATATTGTTTCTCCATTCCCTACATTTCTTATATACTGGAAGTTGAGTGTGAAAGTTTGATTAGGTTCAGACAAAAGATTTATAGCCAGGCTACTTCATAGGCAATGCTGTGTATTTTATATTACACACATCTGACTATTAATTAGTGATGTTAAGTTTAATCACTTGGTGGATTGGGTGATTGCCAGATTGTTCCAATTTGTATTCTTGCTGATGATTTTCTTTATTTATTGTAAGAACACTAAGATTTAACATTTTAGGAAGTAATTGCCCACCAAAAAGAAAAACAACCAGTGCAAAGTAGATTCATCTTACATGGCGAGCACTGTGCTGCAAAAGGGAAACCAAAAATGAGACATAATTCCCACGCCTGAGGAACTTTCAGTGTGATGAATAAATACAGACAATTCAGGGTAGAAGTATGAACTGACCTGTGCAAAAGGAGGAAAGAGACAGAGGGTGTTTTCTTTCCCCCAACCCCTCTCCTTTATTCCCCTTGCTTCTTCCTTTAGATATTGATTAATAATTGATTTTATTTGGAGAGGATTTTGATGTATACATTAGGACAGTTTTTATGGACAACTCATAAGAATTCTGTCTCATATACAATGAATCTCAGTAAAAGCTATGTGTTAACACTAGGAATCTGGCACGTCACATTTAATGTTCTGAGATAGGAATTGCTTTCCCTATTTCATGGATGAGGAGACTGAGGCTCAAAGAAGTTAAATGATTTGCTGAAGTGCTTCAAATCCTGTCTGACCCAAAACCTGAGCTATTCTCCCTACTTTGTGTTCTTTGACAAGAGGATTTGATAGTCAATAGAAACCAAAGGATTTGCCATGTTCAGCAGAGTTCTGAGAAAGTGCAGAAGGACACAGAGTTGGCCCAAAGTCATTAGAACCTGATCAAAACAAGATCATTCTCTGTGGACAGCAGGTTGTGTAGATTACCTTTGTACAAATTCAAATTCAAGAAGCTGCTCTATTCTTAGAGCATGACAGTGTTAACCTATTATGATGTGGAATTTTTCCTAATAAATAACTGGTTGAATAGTTTTGTTATTTTTTTTACAGATCTGTTCTTCCATATTACCCACCTCAGTTTTAACAGTTTTTGTCAGTCTTTTAGCTTCTTGTTAAACCACAGACAAACAAACAAAACAAAGCACAACAAAAAAAATGTAGTCGGTTAGTAATTACAGGTAGAACAAATATCATTTAAATAGAATATAAACATCTATCTTAATCTTTTGAAAATTTGATATAAGCATTCTGGGCATTTTAGCTATAGAAGAGGTGTGGTCTTAGATGAAATATACCAGGCTTTGTACCCACCTAATGCACTAACTCTGTAAGGAGAGTGGGTTAATGTTAACCTGGAGCATAGAGGAAAATTTTATACATTAAGAAGCAAGGTTAGCAACTAGACCGTGATTTGTAATTGTATCTTGAGGAGAGAAGAAATGAGTTCCTTTGGGGGCAAGAAATTCATAAACTAACAGGGAAACGAGAAAGAATAGCTAACCAGGTGGAGCAAGAAAAAATAAAGAGATGTCATCCTAGAGCAGAAAATCAATAGGATAAGTAATCATAGGATAAGTAATGATTGGCGTGGGCCAAACTTTGACCAAGCTATGTGGGTGCAGCCTTTCCACCCATCTTATGTAAACCGTGATTTCACGGCCAAAAGAGAGGTAGTCTTAGAAAGTGCACCAGATGAGAATGCAGAAGAGCTGTATCTCAGTCTGGCTCCACCAAGCACTGACTGTAAAACTTCAGGCAATCCCCTTAACTTCTCCTGGTCTCTGTTTCCACTGTAATATTTTGAGGACCCATTGGGATTATGTGTGCAAGCTTTTTGCCAGCTCTAAGAGGACATACTCTTCTCTATTACAGCAGAAATGAGACTCCTTTTAGTGTGGGCAGAATGGGGAGTGGGAGATATGTTCCCCTTTCTGAATAGGAAAACCCTGAAAACTTATATTTTTTATAATTAAATTTTTTTTTTTAAGATTTATTTATTTATACAAGCACTGGGGTACAGGCCAGAGGTGCAGGAGGGTGAGAGAATTCACCAGAGACAGAGCAGGGAGCTGAATAGGCAGAAGGACCAAAGAACACTGTGAGGGGAGCAGCGGGTGAGACAGGAGAGGTCTGCCTCGCCATGTGGGAATCTCCCTGGCCGGCAGGAATTGAACCCATGCTGCAGAGGCTGCGGACAGCTTCACAGAGCTGCACTCAATCCGCTGCACCACCGGGGAGGCCCTATTTTTTATAATTTTTATTTTTATTTACTTTTATTTTTATTTTTTTACAGAATTAAAATTTATTTTAGATGGTAAAGTTTTATACATTTTAAAAAATGAAAATTCAGAAGTCTCAGAATGAAACGATCCGTATTCAACATTATAAAGCTATTTTTAACAGTGATTAAAGTAGTGAAAACATTTTACCCTTACAAAAATGTTACAGAATTCAAATCACAACTTGGATCCTCAATGATTCAAGTATTTTATCTTATACAGTAAGGGCTGGATCAGTTTTAAGAAAATTTTTCTGGGTATGCTGGGCTCAAGTCCTCTATTATCACCATCCATCAGCTCACACAGTGGGATAGCTGGCTGCTGAAGCAATTCCACAGTGGTTGTTTTTATCTTTGGTCATTTTTACATAGCCATTATCACCCCATTCTGTACCCCTACTGTTCTTGACAATCCAAAATTTATTGTTATTAGAATCTGTTCCTTCAAAGCCATAGCCAACCACCAGAACACCATGATCCAGGTCTTCGCTGCTGCAACTTGGTTCATAATAAATATCTGATTTATAGAACTGGAAGGACGAATGGCTTGCATCAATAGCAACAGAGATAGGCCCCACAGTAGCCACTGCCTTCATAAGTGTCTTCTCCCGATTTGGGATATCCACATAGCCAGTGTCATTGGCAGCAGAAAACTCAGGCTTGTATTTACAAGTATCTGAGTCCTTTGCAAGTCTTCTGAGTCCAGCCCTCCATTGTCCTTAATATACTGGAAGGCATAATCCATTAGACCACCATTGCAGCCTTCATTGCCTTGCGACCGTGAACAGTCCACCAGATTCTGTTCACTCAATGAAACAAGTTTTCCAGAACATCTGTCCTTCAAGGGAACCAGTTGCACTAAAGGCCCAACAAGAACCACACTGGCCCTGATTCTTTATAGGAGTTACAGAGCCTTTCTTTTTCCAGTCCACAGATTTGGGGACTTCAAGCAAGAAAGGTGATTGGAACATTTTCCCCATCTTCTTTTGTTTCTCCTTTTGAAAGTCATTCATCACCTGCTTGAATTCTTCATTGGTCATATCACCAAAGGAATTCATGGCCATTGTGAAGCCATGATTCCCTAGGCTGTATTCCCGATTGTGCAGTTCAATCATTTTCGTATTTTTCTCCCACACTGCTCTTCTCCATCCTTCTTCACTCATGCCATAGAGTCTCCTATGAGTTGACTTCCACTGGGACCATTGTGCATCTAAAGTCTGATCAAATTTTGGAGAAGCTGAGCTTATTCCCAAGCAAAGGCAATCAGGAGAAGTAAAGGATTCATGTTGCAAAAACCTGCGGCAGCCACCACTGTGCAGGTGCACAAACAGACGCACGCAGCTCTTAATAGGTCGCAGGGCCAGAAGTTTATTTTTTATAATTTTTAAAAAGGAAAGAAACATTGAAAATGAAATTAGAATATTGTATAGGGAATCTCTCCTTAGAAATGTTGCACAGGAATATCTTGCTAAGTGTTTCAGTGATGTTCTAGCTGGATTAATTAAATTTTCTGAGAACCCACAGTTTTATCACCAGAGCATGTCAACCTTTGATGAACATTTTTCTTTAATGGATGAACATTTATGTAATGCCTAGAGTAACATAACAAAAGCTCCTTTGAAGTTTGAGAGGCCTGTGGTGTCCCAGTAATACCGGTTGGTTTTTATTTATCCATATAGACTGTGGCAGAACATTTGGTGAATAAGAACCAGTTTCAGGACATAATCAGAATATTGCATTTGTAACAGTAAATGCCTGTTGGCTGCTACTTTTTTTTTTTTTTTTACATTTCCTCAGTCTTTTAGAAGAAGAGTGAGTTTAGTGGGCCTAAAATTAATTTAGTGGGCCTCCCTTGTGGTGCAAGGGGTTAAGCATCAGCACCATGAAACTATCAACAGCCACTGCAGCATGAGTTCGGTCCCCAGCCAGGGAGCTAACCCACATGGTGCAGCAGACCTCTCCTGTCTCATCCACTGCTCCCTTCAGCAGTGTATTTCAGTCAATCTGCCTGTTCTGCTACCCTCTGTGTCTCTAGTGAATCTTCTCACCCCCACCCCCTGCAGCACCTTTGGCCTATACCCCAGCTCTTGTATGCATAAATAAATAAATCTTTAAAAAAATAAAATTAATTTAGTAAGTTTAGTTCTATTTCATCAAGATTTTATCTGAATATTATATATGTGTATATACACACATACATTATTATACTTTTGTTCCCTTTTTGAGCTACGTTGCTCTTTCTGAGTATGAAAAGCCTGAAACATATTTTTTAAGTTGAAGTAACATTACATTAGAACAGTATCTAAGATTCAGGTATGCATCATTAAAAATCAATATCTATATACATAATATGAAGTTTACCACTGAAAGTCCAATTCTCCCCTTCACCATACAGTTAAGCCATTTTACCCCTTTTATCCAATCCCCTGTTTCCTTCCTTTCTGGTAACCAATAATTGTTTTTATAGTCTAAAAGTTTGCTTTTGTTTTATTTAGTTCATTCATTTGCTTTGTTTCTTGAATATGCATATGGATGAAATCATACAGTGTTTGTCTTTCTTTGCCTGGTTTATTTCACTAAGCATAATAAACTCCAGGTCCATTTATATTGTTGCGAATGGTAAGATTTCATCTTTTTTTTTTTTATAGCTGAGTACTATTCCACTATGCATGTATACCAAATCTTCTTTATCTAATCATCTGTTGAAGGGCACTTAAGTTGTTACCAGCTTTTGACTAGTGTAAATAATGCTTCCATAAATGTGGAGGTGCCTATATTTTTTCAAATTAGAATATTTATAGTTTTCCTATACCCAGAAATATGAAAACTGAATTGTATGAAATTTCTGTTTCTAATTTTTTCGAAGAATCACCATACTACCTTCCATAATGTTTGCACCAACTTACATTCCCACCAATAGATTATAGGGGTTCCTGTCTCTCCACATCCTCTCCAACACTTGCTATTTCTTGTCTTTTGAATAATAGCCATTTTTGCATGGATGAGGTGATATCACATGGCACAACATATCTTTTTTTATCATAGGGGGAAAAAAATCCAAGTCACTCCTTAGAAACTTCGTAAAGAAAAATCTTGATCACATTTTAGCAGTGTTATATGGAACAATTTATATCTCTATATAAGATTTATTTGTAGTAATAAAAAACAGACACACACACACACAGAGCCTCCAGGCCAATGTTTTCTAGAACCATATCACTAAGTGTATCTGTGGCTTTAACAATTTGGGCATTTATCATCTTGATCAACAAGCTTGCAGGGTAGTTGATTAAAGGCTGGTACTGCCTTGGGTGGGGCCAGTGCCCCTCTCTTCCTGCTGACTCTTTGCAATGACTACTGTACCTCAGGGATCACAGCCTGTTCCTTACAGAAGTAGAAAGTGAAGGAAGTAGCCCCTTCTTCTTCTCAAGTGTGCCCTGTTCATTAGAACGGTCTGTTAGCCACTTCTAGCAAATGTGATTTTGGGGAAGGTCAGTTTTAGAATTTTCAGTCTGAATCAGAGAGGAAGGCAAGTGAGATAAGTGTGGACTGAGTACTAAATGGCCTCTTAAAATACAGGACTTCTCCCCTCTCCCCACCCATCAGTTATACTAATCCAAATGCCATGTGGCCCTAGTCTTACTGATCTGTTTGTTGGTATTTTGAAAGAGCCCAATAAATAATCCTGTTTCCCCTCACTTGAGTTCTGAGTTAATTGAGAAATAAGTCTAAGGAAAAAGCACAAGGACAGCAAATATCATTTTTAAAACAAAAAGCAAGGTTGAAGAATGTAGCACATCTTTGTGCAAATAGACTTTCTAATAACCCAGTGGCAAGTAGAATTACCCCCTCAGCCACAGGCAATGCTGGCCCCCAACAACGTGGCATCCCCAGGTCCCCCTATGTGGGGGAGATCAGGGGTTGCATAAGTAAGACATATGCCAATGTGGAGCAAGCCAGAATTTTTACTTCCCTTCTGCAAACTCACTCCCTAGAGACAAAAAAGAGTTGTTGAGCTGAGTATCTCAGGTTATTTTCAAATCCAGTCACATCAATCCCTCCCCCTTTTCTGGGGGTGGTAGGGGGTGGGGAAAAGCCAAGTGGAAATATACACTCTTTCTTAAGACAAATGTTTTATTCTGCTTTAGTTTTGCTTGTCTTGTTGACAAATGTGTTCATCTTTGTAAGCCACAGAAAATCCTTTTGGGAAGTAGACTCTGTATAAATCATGAATACATAAAAAATAATCTCCACTGAAAACAAACATGAGGGAGAATGTTGATTGAGAGATTTGAAAAAATGATTCAGGATACATGGAGAAATAACTGGAATGGATGCTGTGTCCAGAATGAGAACAGCTCAGTATCTGCAACCTGTGGCAGTTCTTGTAGGATGTTAGTGAATTTCACATATACCCGTGACAGAATGGATATAACTTCTGTATTCTTAGCAATTGTTGAATTTATAACAGCTTCCTGGTGGTCACTTTTGGTCTCTAAGCCAAACTAATCAGTGTAAGATGCTGAGAAACAGACTTCAGATTATAACTGAAAAACAAAAGGGTTTACTACCTGATGGTGGAAAAGAAAGTAGGGTGTGCATTGATTTGTTCAGTGAACCTACAAATTAGTAGTATTTATAATAAAGCTTTCAAACTGATTTTTATTGACCTCTTCCTTTACAGTGTTATGAATTCTGTTATGTATGTGGCCTAAAACAGTCTTGCAGATGAGTGGATAAGAGGATGTGGCATATATACACAATGGAATACTACTTAGCCATGAAAAAAGAAGTGTTCCCATTTGTGACACGTGATTGAAACCAGAAGGGATTATGCTAAGTGAACTAAGTTAGGAGAAAAACAAATACTTGGTGATTTCATGCATTTGTGGATTATAAGGAAAAAGCAAAGGAACAGACACAGCTATACCAAAACAAACCCTAGAAATCTGACTGCAAAATTGAAGCTATCAGAAGGGGAGGGTCCCAATGAACTATGGTAGAGAATCAAGGGTGCTTTAGTGGGGGATGTGTATGGTAACATCAGAAGAGGTGTGCATCCATATCCCTAGATAATACACAGTACTGTAAATAAACATTGACACAAATAATTTAGTATTAAAAAACAATGAAGAAGCCAAAAATGACCCTTCAGAAACTTTAACATAAGAGTGCATCACTGGGAGACCCTGTTAAAATTCAGATTCTGCTTCTGTTAGAGGTGGGATCTGAGATTCTGCATTTATCAGATCCTCACACTGAGGTCAGCATGACCTTCACTTCAGGCAGAATGAAGAACAACAAGAGTATAAAGACCACAGATCTTTAGCTCTTTACACAGGTGGGCAGTCTCTCTTGGGACTTGGGGTTAGAGTCACTGTTGGTGAAACCAGCTGCTGATTGAAGTTCTACTTCCTCAGGAAGAACCCACGATCTCTTACTGCATTTTCAAAAGTAAGATGTCAGTTTTGAGTAGTTCATAAACAGCAGCTGCTTTTTTAAAATTTCATAATTGTGTGCCATTTTTATCAGTACGAGCTCAGTGGGAGAAGGTGGCTTTGGACAAATTGTGTTCATATTGATATTAACCAAGGGAAGCACCGCTGTCTTCATTCCTCCCACCATCCTGAGGCTCTGTACTGACAGATTTCTCAGTCTGGTGGAACTCAGTATATCAGAGGTTATGTCTGTGAGTTTGCAACCCCAGGTAAGCTCACTTATATGGCTCTTTGGTGGGTGGAAAAGAAAACAAGCCCATACATTTGTCTCTGCTTTTAAATTTTTAAACAATCTAGTAATTTTAGCAGTGAATTGAGTGTTTGCTGACAGACAAATGTAAGATTTGGGCATATTGGAAGTGGTTAAATAGAGTGTGGTTCAGATAGTTTCCCTTTGCAAAAGGTGGTCAAACAAAAAAGGGACCAACCAGATTGGTTGGCTGAGTTGTCTCCAGCAGTGATAGTTTAGCTAGGATGTGTCCTAAAGATCATTTTATTTAGCCCTCTTTGTGCAAATGAACATTTGACAAGTGAAGAAACCCAGACTCCAAGGATTTGCTCTATGGAAAACAACATGGCAGTTTCTCGAGAAATTAAAAATAATTGTCATGTGAGCCCGCAGTCCCACCTCTGGGTATATATCCAAAAGAACTGAAAGCAGGAACTCAAAGAGATACTTGAGTTGAAGTTCATAGCAGCATTATGCACAATAAAGAAGTGGAAGCAATCCAAGTGCCATAGAAAGAGGAATAGCTATAAAAACGTGGCATATGTATATAATAGGATATTATTCAGCCTTAAAA